TGGACTGTACGTTGCCTACTGACGACGCAGCGTGAGACAAAATGAAACTGTGATGTTTTCACGGAACTCAATGGAAATTTTAGCGAGTGGTGTCCCCAGCACGGCTCAAAGGATCCGCAACGAGGCGAACAGAAACCGAGTTTTCTTTTGTGCAACGGGGATTTCCATTGGCGAATGTGTCCAGCACCAGAACCTGCGTTGTTTAGGCCATGTATTACATATACCGAAGAGAGTCCTGTTTTCCATTCCCAACTCAGAGTGGCGAAGCAGAGAGGTGACCGACCCTGAACCTGGCAGAGGTGTGGAGATTGTGAAATACTTGGGTGCTTTCAGTGCTACTCGCCTTGCAGGATGGGGACCACGTGATCCCCACTGCGCCGGGTTGGAGATGCTGCAAGATATGGCTGTCAACCGATTGCAGTGGCTTTCGCGTTGTCAGTTTCTATCCAGGTTACCTGAGCGAATATCTGGAGGTCTGGGCATTTTGGAATGATTGTAGTAAACAAGCCTTAGGTCCCTTCCCCATCCACCTCCATTCTTTTCTTGACAATACAGCCTTCAAATAAATTATGATTGTCCGGCAGCGTAGCGTAAGTGTTGAACACTGATGTCATGCTCTCGATGATGATGATGATGATGATGACCAACACTGCTCCGCTTTCTGTTTAAGGATATACATGTAGCCTCCACACGCAAGATAATAGGAAAACTACATTGGCCAGGCCTCTATTCACCAGTTATGTGTAGTCACGTTCAGTGAAATGCGCCATTTTTCCACCAAGCGCGGTAAAGTCGGAAACTTCAGACTTGGTGATTCATGCCTTGTGTGATGAGTGACAAGGCCACAGAAACAAATTTTTCCCCAAGAAAACAAATTATAGCGGCGTTAGAACCCCTAGTTCGCTTCTTCAGGTAAACAGTTCAGTGGTTCCGCTTGCTATAGCTTTCTTCACCAAGGAGAATAACCATATGGAAAATAACACGCCGGAGGCGGTGAATCAATCAGTTCATTTACGTCGAGTGTCTCCGTTTGTTCGTTATGGCGCGGACTGAGGCTTACACAATGGAGGCGAGATATTTCAGGTGGTTAAAGCTCGAACTTACTGACCGGAAGGTCCGTGGTTCAAACCTGACCTTTGCCTCTCGACTTCTATCTAGGCTTGGGCAACCTGGCAGTACCCCAGACCTCTTGCTTCCCTCGGGGGGGGGGGCATAGCAGCTAGACACCGAAACGTTGTCACAGATGAACAGTTTTTTAGTGAAGGCGATAGCTTCATTGAAATACCCTCATTGGCTGCGTAACAGGCATTCAAGTCAGGGTAACTAACCATTGGTGCGTTCCGTACCGCGATCGCCACCTGACGAGACAGCAGTGTGACGTTTAAAATGTGTCCGTGTTATTGGAAATAAACAACGCTTTACCTGTCAATGAACAAGCGCAGCGAGACGTCTAGAATACGTCCTAGAACAAGGTAGAACAGCTTCCGAGTTATCAAGGATAAACAGTGCTTTACTTGTTTAAGAACAAGTGTGAATGAGCTGAAATGTACATAAAAAGTTTAAGTACGAGTACATAAGGTAAGTATAGTAATAAGCGGACAAAAATCGTGACATTCGGCATTGTTGAAATGAGCACATATGTGCAGAGTTAAAGGATGATGTCCTGAGTCAGGCTTTCCTGTTTCTCAGACTGCAGGGATAAACGCGTCGCTATTGTTTTAGGGTTTTTTTTGGTCAGCTTAGCGCAAAAGCTGCTGTTTGTAAACTATATAAACGCGAGCACAAAGAGACGGACTACCCACCCAACGGCGCACTGAAGATGTCTCCTCGAATGGTGACGAAACGTTTGCAAATCAATTGCTAAGCTCGGCGAACAGATCAACAGCCACCTGACCACGTACCAAGTAAAGTACCCGACCGTCACGAAGAGACTGGACCTTACCGTGGTGTGACGGGTTGCGCACCTCAGCGATCCAT